TCTTTAGAGCCATCACGATAATCTGGACTTCCTTAAGATTGTAGGAAGGGCAAAAATCGGCAAGATTTTCTTGTAGTGTGACGTCGTCCTTAGAGAACAGGTCAATGCCACACAGAGTTCTAGCAGCAGACACATCTCTAGAACAACTGTTAAGAGGAGACTGTGTGAATCAGGCCTTCATGGTAAGATAGTAAGTAAGTAAGTACAGTTTTATTTATATAGCGCCTTTCACAGAAATAAATTCACAAGATGCTGTACATTCAGAAAAAAATAGCTGCTAGGAAACCACTGCTAAGAACAGGCAAAAAGCAGAAGAGACTTGTTTGGGGTAAAGAACACAAGGAGTAGACATTAGACCAGTGACACCAGACCTCTGATACCCACTGTAGTGGTATAATAATACCTCTAATACTATATTTATTCAGCATTTCAAGAAGAATATTGTGGTCAATACTTTCTTTATACCAACATAAACACTGACACAGTACTGTTTTTGATCAACAGCAGTTGTTATTTGTTCAATCAATTTCAGGAGAGCCATTAATGTAGAATTATTAGATCTAAAACCTTTTACTTAAAATGTTTTAATCAATAAATTGATCTAATCTAGTCACAAATATTATATTTTCCAAAATTTTTGATAATTGTGGCAACAAGAATATTGGCCTATAATTTGTAAACAAACATTTCTCACCATTCTTATAGAGAGGTATCACCTTAGCTATTTTCATTTTGTTTGCAATTATTCCTGTTGAAAATGATAAATTACATATATGGCTCAATAACATAACCTATTATTTCCTTCACAAATATCATATCCATGTCCAACCCTTTGTCACCAAGATTTTATTTTACAATACTCAGTATTTCTTAGTTTCATCAAGAAAAATACTGTTGGCACAGCCCATGACTGTATGACTCACATTATTATCTGCTTTTGGTATTTTAGCTGCACGACTTGGGTCAACATTTACAAAATAATTATTAAATCCATTTACAATTTCATTCTTATCATAGATTTCATTATCATCATTTACAAAATATTGTGAAATACCTGATTTTTCTTTATTTTTCAGAACACTATTCATTATTCGCCACG